CGAGCGATGATTTACAAACAGTTCAGTCCTTTTCTCCGAAATTTCGCAAAGTTGCATGAGTGACAGCGATGAGGAAAGAGTAATACACATTTGGAATTGACTATTTTGACGTAGATGTGTCGCGTTAGTGGAGAGACTCGATGGCACAGTGAATTGATTGAAAAAGAATTGCAAATGAGACGTTGACCTTCGACGAGCCGAGTAGAATGAATTGATTGTTACTTGATTTATCAAATTTGTCTAATTAATCAAATGCACAATAATAATATAAATACTGTTATATATTTGTATGTAAATAATAATATATGTATTTATATATAAATATAATTAAACGATTTTAATTAATCTAATCATTTATATATATATAATTTTTTAGTTATTTATTATTTAATTTATTAGATCAATTCAGTGGATCGATGTTTAAGTAGAATGGATATTTCGTCTCGAATCTGTACGTTTCAAATTCAAATACGAATGATCCCTAGCAACCTACTTGCTCTAGCAAACCTGCAATGGACGTTGACGATTGCTTTAAACCTAAACGATGTCGCGACATGTTGGAAAGATATAACTAACAAAATTTCGTGTTGAATACCATTTGAATGACTGTGCTGCGTCATTTCATTTGAAGTTGATGATCAAGCTGGTAGATGATGGAGAAAAAAACAAAACTTTCCAAGACTAACCTAAATCATAAGATTTAATTCCAAGTCGTTTGATGGCTATAGTAATGATGAGGATAATATTCGAAAGTAATAAAAAAAATAACAAATAAAGGAGAAAAAGGTATCGTCGCCCATTTTCCATGGTTCCAGTCCAAGGTTTTCCAAGGTCATTTGTACTGCCAGCAAGGGAACAGAGCCTTGAGAACAGAGGGGGAACGAATACAAACGCGTTTGCATATCGCGTCGCGAGGGGCGTAACAGCTTTTTCCCACCCCGCCGCACGCTAAATAGAACGGTTGATTGCATTTCGCGTCGCCGCTGTCGGGCAGGCATTCTCTCGCGGTCGCAAATATTTGCCACGCAGCCTCGTTCACGCGAGAGTAATTTCATAATGCGGCAACCGGTAGTATAGCGCGGCGCGGCTCGGCTCGGCTCGGCGGGGCTGCTTATAATGCGAGGATCGACAGTCGAAGTAAATCTACTTGAAGAAGTTCGCTTCTTTGCCTCGCTTGGCAGGGCGCGCCGGGCAACAAACTCGGGCAAACGAATCCCTTGGACAGTTCACGAACGAAACTCGCAAAGCCAGAAACAGTTTTATGCCATCGCCGCGGATACTTACGTTGCAGATATGTTTGAGAAAAGTTGCTCTCTCTGGTCCGCCTCCGGTTCTTTGCCGACTCGAAGGAGAGGAGGACTCTGCTAGCAGCCGGTCTCATAGACGAGAAAAAAAAGTCGGCAATCGAATCTGGCTAACGAAGTCCTTCGTTTCTCTCTCTCTTTTCTTCTCTTTCGCGGGAAACTCGTGCCACGACGATCTTTTTCCTTTCTTTTCCTCCTTTCTCTCTCTCTCT